TGTCACATTTTTTTTTTTTTTTTTGAGTGTTGTTAAAATTTGATTATATAGCAACATTCAATACCTATTATTGAAACTCTTAATATATAACTTTTTGAAACGTTCATTGATTGTATCAAACAGGATTATCTTCAACCTTTGTTCTTGTCCACTGCCTTTTCACAATATTGTTTTTGTATCACATTCTAATGTTTAAGTGTATAGATACAAAAAAATTCGTAATAAAATTATTAATTTTATACAGTTCCAAAATTTGTCCATAAGGAGTTATCTTTAATTTTGCTTGTCAATTTGCAAAAATTTCTGTTAAAAAAAAAACCTACGACATAGTAAAAAATCGTTGCAAAAAAGGAGAAGTAAAAGTAACTACATTCAAAAAAACGTTGCAAGACAACATTAAAAAAGCGTTGCAAACAGGTTAAAGACAACATCAAAAAAACGTTGCAAATAAGTTAAAGATAACGTTTAATGAATGTTACAGAAAATAAAAGAGAACGTCTTCTGAAAACCTTTCACTATAGTCTTTGAACGTTACCGTATCCTTATAGTCTACGGCGACATCAAAACCAACAACATATGGTCCAATGTTGCGAAAGGTTTTTTGCAAAGTTTTTTAACCATTGCAAAAGACAATTTTTGGTGTAGTGATTGAAGAATATGCAATTTTGAGGGTTTTTTTTTTTTTGAGATTCTTTGACTAAGAATTTTAATTGTTAACTCGTTTGAAAATTCTTCTTTATTGTGATATTTGTTCTGCATTAAAGAGGTGATTCGCTTTAATTAAAAAGTCACAAAATATGTAATTCTTCTCAATATTGGGCATGTTGATGTTGAATAGACCTTCACCAAATNGGCATGTTGATGTTGAATAGACCTTCACCAAATTCGGATCGATCCACTTCGTCTTGTTTGGTATAAATTTTTATTCGGATAATTTGGTAAATACAATAAAAATGGACAATTGAAATTACGGCCTGATTCTAGATTAGTTGAAAAATACAGTCTGATCATAAAAATTATTAATGGGAAATTAAAAAATAAAAGGAAAAATTAATAAACAAAAGGGAAACATACAAGAAAATAAATCTAAATTATCATTTTATTATAACGATTGATCCAGACATACCACGGTTACCACAAAGGCTATCAACTCATTGTGATACAAACTTTTAGCGTAAGTAAAATTTATCTAAGTATTTTTATTTTCATTGATAAAACTGTAAATAGTCATCAAAAGTTATTTCATAATTTTACAACACAATTCCAAAATAGTTTCTAAAAATATTATACTCATTTTCGCTGAATAAACAAAGCTTATGACAAAACAAAACTTCCATTTCCAGCAATTCCACAGTATTAGAAAATTGATGGTTTGGACGTTGGTGTTAAATTTCGTATAGAATAAGCGATTCATACGGATTCTATCCGATCAAATTGTGATTTTAGTCGTGTACAAGAGTTAGCTGGGCATGATTTTGCCCGATTTTGGGTCCAGTTTTTGTTTTATCGTGTGGTTTAGAACATCTTTTAGTGTACAAGTTCATTAAAAAAAAAAATTTCAGTCCAACCTAATATATTTTCTGGCTCCGCCCCTGCAAGAGCGTTACATTGTGTGACCTTATTCTTTGTGTGACATCCCCTAATAATTTTTTAATTTTTTACTTGAAACGATTATGACATTTGATTATTATAATATGACCTTGAATTGAGAACTTAAGTGAAATACTCAAATGTGACCCACAGTTGGAAATAATATTCGACTGTTGTATTGGACGAATAATCCAACGCTTGGAACATACTATAGTCCTAGCCGGCGAAGAGCCCACATCGAGATGTCAAATTTTTCTAAATGCCTTATTTGACATTGTGCGACGTATTCAGGTGAGTAATAAGACATTGGTTAAACTAATAGAGGCTCTACTAAAAGATACTATCAGACACCCAATTCCAACAGAAGACACGTTGGTCGGATGCATCATCTATCTTTGACCTAAGCAAAGGCCATTACCTCTAATTAGCAGAGTTAATTTACAGTTGTATATAATGGAATAATTGAAATCATTTTGGCTCAATGGTACTGAATGATATTGTGTTGGAGGTAGTCTTATAATGTCACGTCCTTAAATCTTTTCGGGGCATTTGAAATGATTGTGAATTATTAAATTTTGATTATTCAATTATGGCCCCTAAATTGAAAAGTTAATGACATAGTGGGCATAGGAAAATCTCACAGCTTGACGTATTCGTGCGGTACGATTGATGGTTGATATCGTGTTAATTTATTTCCCACGTTTTGAAATGAAAAAAATTAAATGCAAATTATGACCTATAAAAGAAATATGTGGAGATTAAAGTCTACAAAAAATTTGGGAACTTAAATGTTGGTAATTGGATTACTATTTATTTTTATTGAATTCTTCTAGGATGATATGTTTATTTATTTATTTTTATTTTTATTTGGGATTGATGGTTTTGATTTTGTGTCGATTAAAGTCTGCTAGAAAATTTAAGTCAAAATCAGTAATTAATTTTAATCATATATTTCATATGATTCTCAATTTTTCAACACACGTTTGATTAACTTTTATTAATATCTAATAAAAATCTGACTTTAATATACATCAAACAGGGGCTCAGATATTTCGAATTTAAGATTATGCCTTTGTTATATAATTTGATAAATTTAAGATTAGTAGATAATAAATTTTCATTTTATCTTAGAAATATTATCTAATAATATTATGTATTGTTAAGAAAGTAAAAATAGATTTTAAAATACTATTAATAACAGTAATAACACAAAAAAGACATCACTACAGTTAGTAATTATTTTAGTAATTGTAGCAATTATGTACTTAATTTTCTTTATTAAAAACACAAACTTATTTTGCAACATAGGGCAAAAGGCTTAGTTTGGTATTAATGTGACTCTAAAAGAATAAACTTTTACTATGATGAAGAAAGAAGAATTCAATGATGTGAGAGTTGTGTTTCTCAAAACACTTTTAAAACGGTGTTATTTGTGTCAATTGCCTTCTCAAAACACTTTTAAAACGGTGTTATTTGTGTCAATTGCCTTAGCTGCTTATTTGACTTGAGCTGCTTAAGTGACATCCATTTATTGGTAGCTGAGCCTTTCACACGGATTGTGCTAGTTTAAACTGATGATGACTGTTAGATGAAATTAATGGCTGAGATCTATTCTTGAGATAATATTGTCTGTTCATTTTACTATTTGAAGGGATCACTTTTTCATTTTCTTTTGGACTCTTTGTTTCTCTTTCTCTTTGGCTCTTTCGTTTTTGAGTTTGTAATTTCTTCGTCTTGTGAGGTTCTTTGTAATTGATCTAATTGTTATGAGGTGAATGTTTGGTGTTAATCAGTCTTGAAAGAGTGGCTGATTTCGTGTAGTATTTCTCCTAAGGGTTGGATTAGATATGTGTATATTTTCACTCTCTGCTTTGTGAGATCTTATGATCGATGACTAAAATTTGGAATTGAGTGGTTTGATGTAATCTCTCTCTCTTCGAAGGCATTTTGTGGTCCTGGAACGGATTGTTCCTAAACCCCTCAGATTCAGGGACGGACCCAGCACCAGGCCAGGGGGCGACCGAGCGTGCTGGACTCCGTTGGAGCAGTTTGGGAGTTCATTTCCCCAACAACCTGGTTCGTCTTCTTCATCCCATCTCCCGTCCCTTTTTTTTTTTTTTTGTTTTTTTGAGATTGGGTCAATTTCTACTTTTACCTATAATAATGGCAGTAATGGAGTGAAGTTCCGGGCAGTGGCTGGTGACTTGGTCGGCAGTAGACTTGGAGCAGAAACCACTTGGGCCGGCGGCACCGATCAAGCATTTCACAGTATCAAGCATCTCTTCAAGAATTTACGTGTAGTCAGTTACACGCGAGTGAGCTAGAGAGAGAAAGCAGTACAAGTAAAATTTGATTTTGTACAGTATGTATTAATTGGTTGGTGGTCTGGAGGGAGAAAGTAGGATTTTTATAATGATGAATGGTGGGGATTAGGGAATCAATAACGATAGGATTGCATCTTTGTCATTGATCGATAAATAATTATTATTTTTATATGATTTCACTTTTAATTATTTTACTATTCATTGATGGTTATATCTCAACTAATTAAATCACTTTGTTTGGCTTGCATTGCAATAACATGTGTAAACCTAGTTTGAAGCCTGATCTATTAGTGCGTTTACATATATATTGAATAATTTTTAATATTATATAATTAAATATTAATAAACGACATCGCTCTTACGAATTATAATCGCTGATTGTCGACGTTGACCGGTCAATGTCCGTCATGGCTGAACTTCAATGTTGGGTCGGTCCCTGCCCAGATTAGGCCTTTTTGGCTGAACTGTGTCAACATATTTGTGTTCTTGTTTTTCTTTTTACTGCTTCTGAACATTTGTGCTTTATAGTTCATATTTAGAAGTGTTTTCACACTTAAAATCCCAACAAATGAAGTGTTTCATAAAATTTTATTCAGAATTGTAATATGTTTCAAAATCAGCATTTTGAGCGTTTAATATACAAAAGTGAGTTATTGTTTTGTGTGTATACAATTGTTAAAATGAGCAATGATTATAAATTATAATGATGTCATTTTGTATAATTATTGTCATTGATAAAATTATAAAATTTGATTTGGTTGCTGTGAATTTAAAAGAAACAATTCTTGCTGTGCTGAAGCGTCGTTGAAAGAATGGGTGAATTTTTGTTTTAGAATTGCTATATATTTCAAAATAATATTTGATCGTTCGATATACAAAAGTGATTTATTATTGTGTGTTTAAACAATTATTAAGCGTCAGTTTGAAGAAATATATAAATAATTGATAAATTCAGTTAAATTCAAATATTAGTTTTAACCAAACATTTATGATTATTATTTATTATTATCCACATATTTTATTGGACCTTACTATTCTTCTTACAATTTCTCTCCTTATAAATATTTTATAAATTTGCTACACGGAGGCTAAAATGAACATTGATCATAAATCATGTTGTCATTTTGCATAAAGTAATTAATAATATTACAATCTTATTTTATAATACCAGTCTTTTGCCCGCACATTGTGTCATCCTTAAGGTAATATTAGCGTGTTGAAATATTGCAATGCATTTCTCATTTTGATACTCTATAGGGATCGACAAAAAATTGTAAGCACTTCAAACTTTCGAAGAAGGATGAGATGGTCGTTTTCATAAAAACATGATTGAGACATTGATATCATGATCATGAAAGAACTCACAGTTCTTCAGAAAATAAATTATATCTTGATAATGAAATTTAAACAAACCAGTATGATGCAAAGAGTCCATGGCACGAAAAATTGCAAAACCATTATATGTCAGCTGTAATGCCCCGAGTTCCATGAACCCGAAGTGCCACGTCATCCTCATTTGTCTTGAATTAAAAAAAAAAAGATTTGTAGAACTAAATTTTAAAGATCACATTCATAATTGTGAACCTCATCGGCAACAAAAACTCATTTGATTTACTTAGGATAATTGATTAAACTTTAAATCTCAAGTTTGAAATAACAAGGTAAGTTAACAATGTTCACAATGAGTAAGTTTCAAAAGTAAATAATTTCATCTATTAAACCGTGCCACCACTACCCATCAAACCCTACCATCTCTGAAATCTGCAATTGTCGTTAAAATAATGGAATAAGTATTTCGAATAAATACTAAGTAGACTTATCGCCAATAATTAATTTACAGAATAATTGAACACATAAATTATGCAATTTATACGGAGACATCATCATCCTCAAGCTCTTTTTCTTTAAAAATCGTAGACTTTTTTGAAATCATAGGGTGTGGGTAGTCTCGTCTCATGCATTTAAGCACATAAGTTATGCATAACATTATCTTATCTCATAAGAGATAGTCTCGTCTATTCTTATGCAATAAAGCATATAAGTCATGACAAACATAACAACATCATTTATCTCATAAGAAATATTCTCCTATTATGCATTAAAGCATATAAATCATATAAAGTCACATAATACATGCAATTATAATTTAAACTAATTAATGGGGTGAGTCTACCTTAAATTATCTCGAGTCATGTAAAAAGTGGAGCGGGTAGTAACCTCAATCCCTTAATTGTCCGTACGTTTCGTCTAACCAAAATAGAAAATAAGCTTTGAATTAGTATCCTGAAATTTTAAAGATTNCTCACACACACACACACACACATTGTTCAAAGAGGAGGGATCAGCGACGGGAAGGGGCTCTGCCCCTTCCTCTGATTTCTGCAACCTGCCAAATGGTCGGTGTTAGTGCCACCATCGCGTGGTGACGCCGATGCGTGTGTGGAGGCGGCAGGGGGTCCTTTGGTGTGCGGTTTGAAAGCTAACCTAGGCTTGGAAAGTTCGGGTTCTTGGGTTTTTCAACGGTAATCCTGTTGGAAATGGGTCGGGGAACGAGGTAAGCTTATGGGTTAGGTTATTTCTTGGTTTTATGGCTGATTTGGTGTTGTTTTGGGGTGAAATGGTGGCTGTCGATTGGTTGGTGTGTGGCCATCCACGAGGGGTTATAGGTGGTGGTGCGTGGAGATGGTGGAGCGGATGTGGGGGCTCGTTTGGTTGGACTGTGGGATGGATTTCAGCTTGTGTGTGTGTGCAATTTGGTGATGGTGGAGGTGAACCCGATTCCAACTTGTTGCAATCGGTGATAGTGGATGGGTTTCTGCTTGTTGATGCTAGAAATTGACGTTCTAGCATGAAACGTGAATTTCCAATTTTAGCTGGGATTTTGTTGATGCTAGAAATTGATGTTCTAGTATCAATTGTGAGTTTCCAAATTGAGGGAGAGGATTTTTCTTACCAATTTGGTTGGCTGCGTGAGGTGTGAGGAGTAGACGAAATGACAGCTATATGAATAGTAAATTTTTAGGGCACAAGATCCTAGGAATTAAGAGGGCCAAGAATTTGGGCTACAAGAGTTTTCCTAATTGGATTTAAATGAATTGGACTAAAACAAACAAGACTTGTACTAACAGGATTTTGGACTCTAAATAACAAAATATTGTACTTTAAAACTATTAAAATTTGGATTTAAAAATGATAAGGAATCTGATACTTTAAAATATTCGAGATTCAATTCGATTTGAAAAGTTTTAAATTTGTTTTGCAATGACTAGATGAACACCCCTTTTATCTTAAAATTTGGGGTTAAAACTTAGCTACATGTTTTTCAAAAAGAATATCTTTATATCATTTAAAATTCCGAGTCGCTACATCAGCACATTTCTTTATGTAGCAGCATGACTAACAAAACTCAATAAAGCCATAAATTTCTTATTGACCAGTTTGCTTGTTGCAAATGACTTTAGTAGACTATCTGAAGAAACAAATTTGAAATTAGGTTCCAAAACCATTAGCAAAAACTCAATAATAAGATCGGACGGGGAACCATATCCCTAACTAGTATGCGCACGCGTGTATACACACACACACACACACACACACACATAGACACAAGGAATTTTATTAATTCATTTATTGCTTTCTTGGTTCTACTTGTTTTTGTAAATCAGGAATACAGAAACAAAAACAACAATTGGACTAGAGAATGTGATGCCGGGCAAAATTGCGATTATTCTGCAGGCTGATTTCAGTAGATAATTAACAAGAGTTCATAATCTATGTTAAAAGGCAAAGAAAATATTATCGAAAAAGGAAAAAAAAAAAAACTAAAATTGGGAATTCGAAAAGGAAAACAGCGAATTTTGCCCTTGAAATTGATGCACAGCGAGTAGAGCTAGATGACCACGACGTGCGCACCGAAAAGAGCTTTTCGAATTGGGGTAATGAGCGTGATTCTGATAACCGTAATCAAAGTTATGGCCAAAATACCGAAACGTGTCCAAAATGGGTCCCAATTAGGGAACATTGTCGATTACTTGCCATTTTTACGCTGATCCGCCAACTCATGGTACCTCAGTGTCATCAACGGGCTATCGGACAACTCGACTTCGTCTAACTCGGATCTTCCTATATCAGAATGCGATTGCAAGATAGGGGCCATCAAACACTCAACCATCTCTCTGAAAGATAATTTGTATTTTAGAATTATGCTTCATGTACAGAAGCATAGTTTCATAGAAGAAAATTGGATACACACAATGTAGGGGATGGGTATTTTTTTTTCATTTTTTTATTCCGGTGGGCCCTACACGTGAGTGGGTGTAAAACCTTTGTCAAAATATTTTCTGTACATATTTTTTAATCCTTTATTTTATTCCTCCGAATAAAACATGGCCATAGGGGTGGATACCATTGTTGTCTCTAGAAAGAGAAATCAATAAATGAAGTAATAAAATTCCTTATAAGTGTCTAAACTCACCAATAATTACCAATCTATCCCATTGCATAGAGTCCAAACTTATTTTTCGCCACCCCACTCCCTTCACCTTCAAGCTCCAATGGTGGATTTTCCAAAGAAAGTCCAAAATTCGAAACCCTCATCAATGTTAATCGACCAAGTGTACTCTTGAATCATCAAGCTATTCATATTAGTAATGACATGCTTTGAAATCTGCGATGCCATAATGGTGGTCGATGTGTACACATTCGGTGGCTCAGGACACAAAGGTTTAAAATTCACAGTATTAACTTAATTGATATAGGGTTAAGTTTTATACAATGATTCCTAGAACTGCCAGAGGCACTCTCTTTTTGAGAATGGTGAGTGTATATTTGGCAATGGTCTTTGAAGAAGCCTTCTCTTTGTCCTCAACACTTGGAGTTCTCATGCTAGGTTTAAGTGGAATGTCTTCAAAGACAGCATTGTTCTCTGCTAAGTAGCAGGAACACCTTTGATTACA